CACAGGCTGGTGTGCTTCTTCCATGTGGGCTTTGTTGCTTCTGAGCTAGATGGCTGCTTGTTTACCTTCAAGCCTTTAAGACCCCAGACGCTATACCTTTTGATAGCCGGGCACCATCAGCTTTCTTCGCCACCCTCCTGGGCTTTCCTATCCCCGCCCACCCCCATTCACTTACTTATTCAGTCACACAGCACACACTCACCCAGTGTCTCCTCTGGGCCTGGCCCTGGGCTGGGCGATACTGGACTGGGCTTGCAGATGATTCAAACTCAGTGTCTGCCTTGGGGAGCTGCTGGTCTGGTGGGGAGGCATGATATGTAAACAAACAGCAGTGATTCAGTCCTTGGCTGTATGGGGAGCTGCTACTGCCCAGGGGGACAGGAGTGGAAAAGGCGTCCTAAGACAAGCTCTTTGCACTGGTCTGTGAAGCAGGAGGTAAACAAGGGTGGGGGTGGGTGCTAAATGGGGACACACTCCAGGAGGAGGGGACAACAGCCTCACATGGGCACGGAGGTGTAAGACGACTAGGTGTGTATGAGAAAATAGAAGCAGGTCAGGGTGCTGGCACATTGATGGCCGGCCAGGAGGTGGCTGGGACCAGTTGTGAAGGGCCGGGAATGCCTTGGAAAAGGCTTTTCTTCTGGGAAGCTAGGCTCCAGTGGTGGTAGTCGTGAGGAGCTCCTGGAGAAGCCAGCTGCCTAACCAAAGCTCCGGCTTGGAAAGCCAGCAGTCAGGAGGACTGTTTGGAGAGGATAGAAGGGAGCCATTGAGGCGGCTCACAAGTTAAACCAGAGGTCGGTGGGGACCCAGTGAAGCCCTGCACTCAAGAAATGGCTGGAGGCGGTAGGGAGGCCAGAGCATGGGGCCATCACGGGGCAACCCTGACGGGCCACCGAGCAGGAGGGGCCTCAGGGACAGGGAGCATGCCCATGAGAGCCTGGAGTTTGGGAGTGGATGGTGTGGCTGATCAGGAAGCAGGGCTGAGATAGCACCCACAGTGATGTGGGGCCTCGGGGGACCCAGCCATGCCTGGCCTCACAGCCCAGATGACCCGGTACCTGGAGCAACCCGCACCTGCTGCTTCTGAAGCAGAGGACCAGGCAGGTCACCACTGTGCCCCACTGGAGCTGTCTTCTGTGAGGTCCCCCGGGCATACCAGGAAAGCGGTGCCCGTAGCTTTTAGAACACACTTTAAGGGGGAAATGTGAGCTTGGGACTGACTCTCTTGCTGGAAACCGAGGCTAAGATCTACGGTGCCCGCCTCCCTGGGGACCTGGGAGTCAAGCGGCAGGACCATGTCCACCTTCACATGCCAGCTGGGGTGCCAGGGACAGGCCCTGGGTCTGTGGGAGCTGGGGCATGGAGGGACTGCAGTAGTGATGCCTGGCTTCCCTATGGTTGAGTCTGGCTGGGGACACCAGAGCGTGAGACTGAGTGCCAGCCTCCATCCCTCCCTGGTCTCCATTCCCTCCTGGGGGATGGATGGCCAGGCAGAAGAGGAGGCGAGTTCAGGGAGGACTTCCCACCCAGCAGGGGCCATGCTGCAGGAGAGCCCCTCTGGCCTTTGGGGATCATGAGAACGGGGAGAAGGATTTGTGATGGAGGAGCACAGGCAGGCAGAGACTCAGGGCTGTGAAGAGCCAGAGGCCCTCTCCTGGCTCAGACTGGGAAACTGAGGCCCAGTAACCAGCCCTGTATGTAGGTAATGACAGAGCAGGCATTTGTGTGTGCCCAGAGGGCCGGGAGGGGGAAGGGTGGGCTCTGAACCGTCCTTTCTTGCAGATGACGTGGGCTGTGTGGTACCCTCCGAGTGCCTGCGGGCTTGTGGGACCGAGATCGGCTGCTCCAACATTGCCTACCCCAAGCTGGTCATTGAGCTGATGCCCACAGGTGAGGCTCTTTGGGTCGCAGGGGCCACACTAGGCCTGGTGTCTAATGTGACACTTGGCCCAGAACGTATGATGTTCTGCTCGAAGGGAGGACAAGAAAAGTAATAATACTGGAGACCACTTCTTGTGAGCCTGGCCCATGGGCTTTGTGGTTGTCGGTTGCATTTAAGGCTTAACTTTCAGGGCACTCCTGGGGGTGGGGATGGGGCTAGACTGCCAGCCTTTCAGTTTCTAGTCCAGCTGGCACCAGCCAGGAGGGAGTGAGCATCTCCTAGGCTGAATCCATGGGGGAGGGGGGTCCATGTCCGTCGCCCAGGGACTTGGGCAGGGCTTTGCCTGTAATTACCTCCGTGCCCTGCTTCAGGATCGTCTCTTCTGTTCCTATCCCCATTATAAGACCCCAAGATGTTGGTTTGGGCTAAGGCCTCATGGCAAGTTGACATTTGAACCGAGTCAATGTGGCTCCAGAGCCTCCCCCTAGAACCGGTGCTTCAGCGTCGCTCAGGAAAGGCTGCCCACCTTTCCTGTGTGCTTCCTGTGTCCCAGGCCCCGATTATCAAGCGCGCCTCTGTGCTATCGCAGAGCACCCAGTCTGTGTCACAGATGGCTCACGGGCCCACCGAGAGGGAAAGGGACTCAGACACCCAGTGTGACTGGGACTTCAACCCAAGGCTCAAAGCCCACTGCTTGCTCTGTGTGCGTGCGTCAGGGGTTCAAGCGACCCATCCCTGTAGTAGCCAGTTTCCATGTTTCCTGCGGCGGCCAGAGCCCGATACGGGGAATATGCAGGCAGAAGCACTGTGGCTGGGCATGCAACTTCACCCTAAGCCAAGAGAGGGAGGGTACCCTGAGGCCTTCTGCAATCCCAGATGCTTGCTCCCCTTGGACTTCAAAGGCCCTTGCATTTCCCTGGCCTCCCATGTCTGGTCTCTTGTGGAAGCTTCCTGTCCCCTAGGTGAGCTGGAGGGTGGGAAGGGTGAGGGAAGAGAGTTGGGGGGAGAGGGGTGGGGCAGGTGGGCTCCTCCCACCCATCCCTGCCCTTCCTCTCTTCCATCCTCCGACCGAGCTGTGGTCCAGACAACACCGGCGCCTGGAGCTGGGTTGCATCTTGGCGCTGCCCAGGGTTGGTGGAGCTATTTGGGGCACACCTCTGCCCTGCTCCGAGCCAAGCCTGCGTTCTCAGGTGTCAATTAGTGATAATGATGCCTACCCAGCCCTCAGCGTTGTTGCTGGGATTAAATTTAACAAGTGCCTGGCGCAAGGCTTGGCAACACTGTGGGTTCTCACCCCCGGGCCCTGCCTTCCCCTTGTGTTCTGGGGAGACTGGCGGAGTCCCAGCACAGTGCCTATGTAGGCCTCATGCTCCCCCTCCCAGAAATGAGTGGCATCAGCACCGATTCACTCCATCTGCCTGAGCAAGAGAAGGGAGGTGAAGAAATGTTTGGGGAAGAATGGTGATGTAACTCACTCTCCCTTGGCCCTCGGCCCAGTCGGTCTAACAAATGAACAGAGAGGCCCCCCAGGTGCTTGGAGTCACACAGCACTCTGGATGCGGAGCCTGGGTGCCACCCCAGCCAGGAGGGAGTGGGCATCTCCGAGGCTGAATCCATGGGGAAGGAGTCCGTGTCTGGCTTCTCCTGGGGAGGGTAGGTGGCAGAGGAAGGGCTGGGAGAATGGGGAGTGCTGGAAATGGAATGGGAGAAGGAGCCACCCCGTCCTGAGATGCCTCACCTCCGGCCTTCCACCCTGGGGCTCCCAGGGGCTTTCTATAGCCATGCTCACCTCCATGAGGACCCTCGCTGCTTGCAGCCAGTCCCCACGGGCTTTTCTCTCCCTGGTCTTCCGTAACTCCATGACTGGGAAAGGGTGTTTGTTTATTAGAGGTGTGTGCTAAGATTCTCAGTGCCAGTAGAGACGGGACCACTGGGGGCTAAGAGCTGGGGACCACTGGGGGCTAAGAGCTGGGGACCACTGGGGGGCTAAGAGCTGGGGTCTGGCCTCACGCCCCGCCCAGCCCAGGGCTCATCTCTAAGCAGGGTGCTTGGCTGCAGGCTACCTTTTTGCAACCTCCTGTTACACATCCGGAGTTCCTGGGCACTTTCATCCCTGCTCTGAGCTTCCATTTCCTCTTCTGCGAAAGGGTTAATGATGCTTCCTTCAAATGAGGTCTTGGCTGCGAAAGTGCTTTGTCAACTGCAAGGTGCTTTCGGAAGGAAAGGGCTGACGTGCACATGAATAACAACGCCGGTAATTACGGTGATTACTCCGATTGCCTGCAAGCCGGCTGCACTGGCTGCAGGTTCCGAAGGATCTGAAGGTGCTGCCCCAGCCCCCTGCCTTTGCAGTTCTCGGCCTCCTCACCCTCCTTCTCTTGGGAGCTAGCCAGCTCGGCCTCAGGGACTGTGCTGGCCATAGGCCTCCCTGGGCCTGGGAGGGCTCCTGGGGGCCTGGGGCTGGAGCAGAGGGGGGTGGGGTGGGAGTGGGGGGGTCACACAGCTTCTTCCGCCTGCAGGTCTGCGGGGGTTGATGATCGCAGCGATGACCGCCGCACTCATGTCGTCGCTGACCTCCATCTTCAACAGCAGCAGCACGCTCTTCACCATGGACATTTGGCGGCGGCTGCGGCCCAGTGCCGGCGAGCGGGAGCTGCTGCTGGTGGGGCGGTATGGTTGGCAGGTGCCGGGGCACTGGGCAGTGGGGCTTTGTAAGAGGAATAGGAGTCGGCCAGCTGCAGAAGGGAGGATGTCAGAGAAGGTGAGAGAAATCCACCCCAGCTCCCAAATTTCCTCTCTTGCCCATCCCTTTGCAAAGGGTCATGGACTTCACCTTTGATACATCCCCTACCTGGGCCGGGCACCCCAGGCCAGTCACACGCTCATCTCATCCCAGAGTTCTGTCTTCCCACATCGGAGTATTTTACCCACCCGATGGTTCCCAGAGGGAGCCCTGGTGGCATAGTGGGTTAAGCCTTGGGCTGCCAGTTGGAGCCCACCAGCCACTCGGTGGAGGGGAGGGGGGGAGAAAGATGAGCTCTTTGTTCTTGGAAAGCCCTCCTTCTGCAGAACAGCCCCAGCGCTGCTCTGTCCACAGTGTGGCTGGGAGTCAGCGCAGACTCAATGGCCGGGGTTCATTTCTAACCGGCTTCTAGTTGCCCCAGAGAGGGCTCTGGAGCTGGCACTCAGCACTCAGCCCACGCTGCCCCTCGGGTCTCCCTGCTCCTGGCCCATCTCAGTGACTCCCCTTCCTGGGCAAAGCCCCCCACGATCACCCCTCTGTGCCTTTCCAGGTGATGCCACAGCCTTCGTGCAGCGGGTGTGGCCCTTTGGGTCTGACTACTCCCTGACACCCCTCCCCACCGGGCTGAGCCCCCGGTGACGGCAAGGGCCCGTGATGCCTGGTGGCTCAGCCCTCTACCCTTAACCCCCTGGGCCCAGAGCCCTGGAGGCCTCTCAGGGTGCACTGAGGAATGGCTCCAGTCTCCCCTGGGCCTGCAGCCTGGCTCTTCTCACAGAGGGCTGGCCCTTGGTGTTGATGAACCAAGAGTGCAAGGTGCTGACCCTTGGGTGCCCCAGGAGCTGTCCCAGCCACACAAAGCAGCTGAGCTCTGTGGGGAGCACTTGTGGGGGACCCGCTGGCCAGCAGGTGCCGTGAGCTCATCCGCAGGTGTCTCCAGAACAAGGAGCCTCATACTGGACTGCGCAGGCCGCTATGTGTCTCATGTCCCCAGCACATGGCTGCTGCCAGCGGGTTCTCGGTTCTCCCCAGTGGCCAGTAGTGGCTTCTCTCTCAGTCCTCCCTGCTCCTGAGAGCTGGGTCCTGGAGCCCTGCTGGTGCCAGGTGCTGTCTCTGCTGAGGAACCCTGCTTCCTGCACGGCTCTGTCTGGTGTGCGTGCAGCCCTAGGCGTGCCTGCTCAGTGGCCTCTGCTGGCCTCCCGGAAGCAGGCTTCTCCCCTGGCCCTTCCCAAGCCCAAGTTCCTGAGCTGACCCTCGCTGTGGCAATTCATCCACTTAGCCATCACACCCTTAACTGCCTTCGCACCTCTTCTGCCAAGCCATGGCCCCTGGCCCCAGCAGCCTGGTCCTCTGCCCTCTGTGAGCTGCCAAAGGCTGTCTGAAACTGGGTGGGTTTCTGTCCCTCGTTGCCACTCCAATGGAGGAGAAAATGCCAGGGGCTGGTGGCCAGTGGGGGTTCAGTTTGCCACCTCTTGCTCTTGAAGCTCCAGGACAGCCCCCAACGCCTCTAGCCCTGGAGTAGCTTGCTCAGCCTCTTCTAGCTTCCAGCACCTCTATGCAGGCCATGCTCCCTCAGCCTGGGAGGCCTGCTTTCTGGTGGGGACCGTGTGACCAGAGCCTGAGTCCACAGAGATGGACATAGGAGAGGGGCAGCCGAGCAAGGCCCAGAAACCCACCGAGAGCCAGGGACATGTTGGTGATCCTGAGGGTCTTGTGGGGTGGGGGAGGCCAGAGGAGTGGCCAGGTCTGGAAAGCAAGGACATCTTAGCCTCTGAGGCTCTGGACTCTGCACACCCAGACCCTGAGTCCCTCTTTCCCACCCTGGCCTCTGCCCCGCCACCTCACCTAGGCTTGTTATTCATACAGCACACAGTGCCACATGCCTGTGTGGACTCTGCCTGGAGCCCCTGCCCTTGAGAGGCCCCCCCCCTGCCCCCCCACCCGATACACTGACTCCAGCCCAGGAGGATGATGGAGGGGCCACTGGTTCTTGTGGCTAGATGGGGGGCTGGTGAGCAAGGAGGTAGGGGCAGGGCTGGGCAGCTGGCAGTGGACTGGCCATGCTGGACCTCAGGGCTGGGATGCGTTCTAGGATCTCTGTGACAGCTGGGGAGAGGAGGGCGGGTCAGAGCTGGCCAGGGCGGGGCCGCAGGCTCTGCCCAGGGTGATGCTGCGTCTGTATTAGGACAGCAGGCGTGTATGGAGGGCTGGCAGGGCGGGCATAATGGAGGGCTGGCTGTGCCTCTGAACAGGGCAGCGCCTGTCTGTCCACCCTCCTGCCTGGCTAAGGGCTAATTAACCGTAATCAAGTGCCACCACCTTCCTTCGCCTGGAAGGGAAGGAAGCCAGCCAAGTGGGAGAGAGGACTCATGCCCAAGGGTACACAGCCTCCACTGCCCCCACCGTTGTTCCTGACACTCCTGGCGACACCTGCTGGCCCAGGAGGTCGGGCAGACCTATCCATAGATGGTCCCCTACGCTGGAAGCCATCCTGGAACAGGGGCTTCCTCTGGGCTCCCTGGCCCAGTCCTGCACTGGGGTCACAGGTCCCCCCTGCCTTCTTGCCTTGCTTGACTCTGAGGGCTGGCAGCTTGTGTTGTAGGCATGACTGTGGGAAGCCTGCCATGAAGGGCTCTGCCCAGCAGGGAGCAGGCAGGAGCTGAAGGGAAGGAAGGCGTGCCTGGCAGTGCGTTAGGGATTCCAGTTTTTAACCCAAGCCCAGCACCCCCTTCCCTATGAAGCCATGAACTGACCTTAAAAGGGTGCAGAGCAGCCTGGGGAGAGGGTGTGGTAGAATGGGGCAGGGCCAGGCCAGTGCAATGAGGGCAGGGGGCAGTGGCCCCTCATTCAGCCCACCGGCATCATTCTGAGTGTGGCAGGCACAGCCCCTCCCTCCTGGTACACCCTGTAAGCTCACCAGTGGAGGTGTGGTGGGTGCCTGGAAGAGGAAGATAAAGACGCCCCCCTGACCCCCCCACACCTAGGACCAGGGGCTGGGCCTGAAGGCAGCGGGAGCTGGGCTGGTCAGGTACAGTGCAGACTGGCCAGGTTGGGTGAAGTGTCCCCTGGGACCAGGGTCAGGAGGCAGGGGACAGAGTGGAGTGCTCCCAGGGCCTCATGGTCCTGGCCCCCCAGGTTGGTCATCGTGGTGCTCATTGGGGTGAGCGTGGCCTGGATCCCCATCCTGCAGGGCTCCAACAGCGGGCAGCTCTTCATCTACATGCAATCGGTGACCAGCTCCTTGGCTCCACCCGTGACCGCCGTCTTTGTCCTGGGCATCTTCTGGCCGCGTGCCAATGAACAGGTGGGTGGGGTGGGGTGGGAGGTGCCTGCCTGGTCAGAGATGTGGCCTCCCTCTCCCATGTGCTTTCTGTCTCCCCTGCCAGAGCAGGGGACAGACCTCTGCTGACCCATGTGCCCTGCCTCCCTCTCCCAGGGGGCCTTCTGGGGCCTGATGGTGGGGCTGGCTGTGGGTGCGGCGAGGCTGGTCCTGGAGTTCCTGCACCCAGCCCCACCCTGCGGAGCCCCCTCCCCACAGCCAGCCCTCCTCAGCAGCTTCCACTACCTGCACTTCGCCATCTCCCTCTTTGCGCTCAGCAGTGCTGTGGTGGTGGTCGGCAGCCTGCTGACACCAGCCCCCCAGGCAGCTCAGGTGAGTGGACCCCAGCCCCTACCCTTGTTGGAGCTTCTCATGGGTCCTCCTGTCTGTGCGTGGCCCTGGCCTTTCACCCTGAATGCTCACTATCTGACTGGGGGCCCATTCTGAGCCCTAGCCCTTTCTCTTTCTTTTTTTTTTTTTTTTTGCCCTAGCCCTTTTTCTTCAACCTTGACCTCCAATTCTGCTGGTTCAAATCCCTTGGCCCCGTCTGAACTCGGCTGCCATCTTTCAGTCACTGAGCCTTGATCCATCTGGGTCCCGCTGTCCCCTTTGCAGATTGAGAATCTCACCTGGTGGACCCTGTCTCAGGCCCTGCCCTCGGAAGCTAAAGCAGGTCAGGGCCAGATGCTAGGTGCTCTCTGTCCTTCCACCCCAGGGCTGGAAGCACCCGTCCATCTCATCCACCCCTCTCCTCTCCTACCCCTTCAGGTGACGGACAAACGCCCCAGAAGTACGCTTTCTGGGCCCGCGTCTGTGGCTTCAATGCCATTCTCCTAATGTGTGTCAACGTCTTCTTCTATGCCTACTTTGCTTGACGTGTCAGAAGGGTCCCGGCAGGTGCAGAGCCACCACCACCACCCCAACCCCCAAGCGAGTGATGGAGACCTTATAAGGCCACACAGCAGGCCAGGGCGGGAGCCTGGAAAACCAGGGGCCGCCGGGAGGAAGTAAAGAACGGGTCTTTCAAAACTGCACCAAATGTCATCCCGATTGGAAAGAAAAGGAGATGCTGATGGATAGCCTTTCATTTGTTTTGCTTGTATTTGGATACTTGGGCCCGGGGCGGAAAGAGCTCATCTCCTAGGGCTCTCAGGGCCTTGAACCAGCTGGAAGGCTGCAGCTGCTGGGGCTGGAATGAGGGAGGATGACAGAGACCAGGAGACAACCCACACCACAGGGGCCCCCTCAAGCAACTGCAGTAGCTCTGCCTGCCAGCCAGCTTGCTGCCAGAGCAACCCCTCACCTTTCCCAGCGCCCCCTTGCTCCTCCTTCCCTTCCTCTGTGGGCTCCTAGGACCTCCCTGGTGGCCTGGTGAAAAGCCTTGGGTACATCCCACCTCCATCTCTGGTTTCAGGGGTGCCCAGACTCAGGCAGACCCTGCTCCTCCCTGTCCTGCTGGTGGCACGTGCCATCGGAACCCCTCCTCCCCCACCCCCGGCTCTGCCCACACTTGGAATAGCGTGCCTCTCTGATCCTGGGGGACCCCTGCAATCAGCTCTGTCTGCTCCCCACGGCTCCCCTCAGGCTACCAGCGAACAAGCACCCCTGTAACCCTGGTTCTCTGTGTAGTTGGGTGGAGGGGCATTCCCCCTCAGAGCCCCCTTAGGGGCAGGATGGTGGGGGGCAGGGCTTCATAATGGGGCCTCCAGCAGCTCCCAAGTGTATGCCATGGGGGTGGGGGGAGGTGTAGTCCAGAGCTGGGGGGCTGCTGAGAAACCCAGCCCCACCTGGAAGCTGACAAGTGAGTGAAAATGGATTGCTCTGCAGCCCCCAAGGGTGACCTGCATCTGCACAATTCAAGGGGCCCTTTGATGGGGGGGTCAGGCAAGCTCAGTGAGTGGTCACCCCGTGAAGAACCCACTGCCCAGCCCAGGACTCTCTGGGTGGAGCCTGTAGGACGTCCCTCTCAGCGTCTTCAGCCGTTGACAGGATGTGGTCAGGGTCCTTCCTGCCCATCCCCGAACTCACACACCTGGGGCCTGCAGGGAGCTGCCAGGAGGTCCTGGGGAGCTGCCCCGGTCTGGTGGGTCATGTTGAAGGGTGGGGGTCTGTAGTGAAGTGGCTGGGAGTCAATACCCTGCAACCGGTCCAATTCCCGGCTGAGCCCTGGGGGACCCAGGCAGGTGGACTGTTCACAGCTCCCTCCATGCCCCCGTCTCGCCTGTGACAGGGACCCAAGGGGTGGGTGCCTGAGTCTGCCCAGATGTCCCCTGTCACAGATGTACAGGGTGCACATAGCTCCTCGGAAAGAAGCCGACGTGCCCACAGAGCTTGCCCCGCCACCAGTGGGGGTCCACACGCTCCAAGACCTCGATGATGTCGCCGCGACAGAAGCTGATCTGCGAAGGGTCCTGGGCCGAGAAGTCAAACCGGGCCTGGGCAAAGCAGGCCTGAGAGGACTGTGGGGAGAAGAGGGAGGGTCAGGGCCCCTGTCCAGCACCCCCAACCCTCACCCCCATACCAGCCCTTTCACACCCTGCAGCAGCTGTCTGTCAGTGGAGGCTCCATGGAGAAGTGAGCGGGGTGGGGCGAACTCTGGGCTGAGATGCCCACCTGCTCCTTGCGGACTCAGTCCCCCCACCGGCCAGGGTGGCCTGGGCTGAGATAGCCACCTGCTCCTTGCGGACTCAGTCCCCCCCACCAGCCAGGGTGGCTGGACTGGAGCGGCCAGTGCCCAAGGAGCCCAGTCCAAGCGGTCCAGGATGGGCAATAGGATCATAATTAGAGGTTCTCTTCCCAGGAAGGAGGGAGCGTCTCGGTTCCAGGGAGCTGAACCAGCTCAAGGGCCAACCACTCAGACCAGACCAGAGGAGGCAGTCAGCCCCAGCTCCATCACAGGGCCCCTCCCCCACTCCCCAGGGAGGTGGCAGTAGTGCACATCTGGGAGGCCTGTGGGCAGATGTTCTTGGGCCCCAAGAGTCGGACTGGGAGCTCACGGCCAGCTTGGCCTTTGGGGCTGGGCTGAGGAGCTGAGCTTCATGTCAGTGGGAAAGAGACTGCTTTGAGGGTCTCTGGAGGGAGTGGCTTGACAGTACTGGCACATTGGACAGGGGGACACGGAGGTCCACTGAGGGAGGACTAGCTTTAAGGTAGCACAGCAGGGTGGTAAGTGTGTGTGTGTGTGTGAATGTGTGTTTGAGTGTGTTTGTCTGCTTGAGTGTGTGAATGTGTGTGTTTTAGTGTGTGTGTGAGAATGTGAGTGTGGGTGTGTGCTTGAGGGAGTGTGAGGGAGTGAGTATGTGTCTGCATCTGTGCGTTTGAGTGTGTCTGAGGGAGTGAGTGCATGTCTGCATCTGTGTATTTGTGAGTGTGTCTATATGTTTGAGTGAGTGTGACTGTGTGTTTCTGCATTTGTGTTTGTGTGAGTATTTGTGAGTGTGAGTGTGTGTTGGCATCTGTGTGTTTGTGTGAGTGTGTGTGTCTCTGTATTTGAGTATTTGCTAGTGAGTGTGTGTCTGTATCTGTGTGTTTGTGTGAGTGTGTGTTTGAGTGAGTATCTGTGTTTGAGTGAGTGTGTGTGTCTGCATCTGTGTGTTTGTGTGTGTGAGTATGTGTTTGTGTTTGAGTATGAGTGTGTGACTGCATCTGTGTGTATATGTTTGGGTGAGTGTGTGTCTGCATCTGTGTGTTTGAGTGTGTGTGTGAGTATGAGTGAGTATGAGTGTGTATGTATGCATCTGTGTGTCTGTGTGAGTGTGTGTGTTTGAGTGAGTGTCAGTGTGTGTCTGCATCTGTATGTTTGAGTGTATGTGTATGTGAACGAGTGAGTGTGTGTGTCTGCATCTGTGTGTGTGAGTGTGCTTGTGACTACGTGGGCATGCACACGCACATGCATATGGGGGATGGCTACACAGGTCATGACCTCCAGCTCCAGGCCTTGCTGACCCCCCTTAGACAAAGCAGCCTGCTTGGACAAGCACCCCTTAGACAAGCACCCACTTGGCTGGTGCTGTCACACTCATTGGAGGGAGGAGAGCAGACCCTCAGGCAGTGATGACAGGGCCAGCCAGAAAATTGCTATTATTATGAGGATGGGGGAGGGTGGATGCGCCTGGTCGGGCATCCGCCCACATGCGATCACACCCTACCTGTGCCCAGTTCCTCTCTGAGCCTCAGTTTGTTCATCTGTGTAACAGGCATGACGAGTACAGCGTACAGAACCCAGCTCAGGCCTGGGAAGCTCAGGGGCCTTGGTTCCTTCCTTCCTCCGACATACACTTATGGAGTGCCTACTGTGTGCCAAAAGGAGCCCTGGGGGTGTAGTGGTTATGTGCTGGGCTGTTAACCATGAGGTCAGTGGTTTGAAACCACCAGCTGCTCCTCAGGAGAAAGACGAGGCTTTCTAGTCCTGTAAAGAGTGACAGTCTCAGAAACCCACAAGGGCAGTTTTCCCTTGTCCTGTAGGCTTGCTATGAGTCAGCAGGGATGGTGGTGGTGGTGAGCATGGTTCCGGTGACCATGCTCCACGCATGCACCGTCAGGGAGCTTCCAAGGAGCTTCCAGTCTGACCCATCTTCCCTGCCTCCCTACCTTCTCTCTTTCCACCTTGTGAGCTTTGGAGCCTGGGTCCGACCCCGCTGCCTCCTCCTGTCCTCCCAGCTGCTCAGAAAGGAGGGTCAGCCTGAGCCCGATGTCCACGGGCTCCTTGTCCTTCTGCAGAAAGGCCAGCACAGGCACCCACCTGGCCCGCAGCCTGCCCACTTACCTCAAGCAGGGGGTCCTCATCCCGCAAGAAGATCTGCCGCTTCTTGGCGATGGTGGTGGTGCGGTAGAAGTCAATCAGCTCGTTGATGGAGTTGAATTTCTCCTCCCATAGGAAGTACTTCCCCGAGGCCTCCCGTAGCACCTTGAAATGCTGCACCTGGTCTCCATAGCTGGGGGTGAGGCCCCGGACACCTCAGATGGGCTCAGTGCCTCTCCCAGTGCCCCCCGGAGAACCCCGGGGCCCAATTTCTCACACTCTACCACCACCTAGAAGCAGGTCTCCCTCAGGATGGGGACCCGAGACCCCACTGCCTGGCCTGATGTGGAGCCTGCTACATACCCCTGGTATCGGAGGAGGGCACACTGGACCAGGCCAGACTTTTGTTACCTAAGTACTTTCTGGACCTCAACTCAGAAAATGCTGAGTATGGTTGATCTGTCCCAGCAAATGGACCTTGAGAATGGATATTGGACAGCCTCTCCACTCACATCTCTTCCACATGCCTCTCAGCCCCGACAGACTCCCCAGCCCTCTCATGGGGTCACTTGGAAAGCAGGTCCTAAGATAAGGTGACCAGACGTCCCGCTTTTGGCGGGATTTTTAACAAATTTAACAAATTTTCCCACGTCCTGCGGCATTTTAACAAAGTCCCGATTTTTGGAAAGAAGGCACGACAAGCGAGGGTATACGGTTTTCGGCTGCCATGTGGCTATTTCGCCAGGATATGAGTTTTATCAATGGTGTCCCGCTTTACCAACGCTTTACCAATGTTAAAATCTGGTCATCTTATCCTAAGAGCCTCCTACTGGAGACTCATGCTGGCTGCTTCCTGTCAAGAACCTTCTATGACTCTATTGCTCAGGATAAAATCTTCGGCTTAGGCTCGAGATCCAGCATCCCTCCCCCACCCCGTCTAGTCTGTGACCCCATCTAGGGACATTCCTCCCAGTGTTTGGACAGGCCATGGCCCCTCTCAGAATCACCCTCCTAGCCGGTCCCTTTTAGCACAGCGGGCTGGCAAACTTTTGGGACACGAGAGCTAATCCTGTCCTTCACAACAATTTCAAAGGATGTTACTCAGATAATGGTGATTTCGTTTGTTTGTAAAAGCATAGCTATGGCTCTTGAATAATGTTTCAATGTTTATAAGTGAAATGATGATAGTTTTATTTGCATGTTCGATTTTCACTCCGGAGCCATACCTATGCACCAAAAGAGCTGCCGGACTCGAGCAGTAGTTTGCCCTCCTCCCTTCCAGTCCCACAGAGGAGACGTGTTGCCAGCGGCGGAGCCTGTGTGTGCCAGGCCTGGGCAGGGGAGCCCACAATGCCTCCCCACACAGCCCTTCAGGACCAAACTGAAGGTGGTGTCCTGTAATTTGGACACAGCCATGTAATCATGGTCCCACCCTCCTGGAGGGTGGCTGGCCTTTATTTCTCTTAGCCCAGGAGGAACCAGCTGAGCCCTTTGTGCAGTGGGGAAACTGAGGTCCACAGCCTCGCCCTGAGCTACCTGGTACCGCCCAGTGAGAAAGGGTAGGGCTGAAGGGGCATCTGAGGGTGGGTGTGAGACTGTGGCTCTCTGGCACTCCTGATTGGCTCTCGCTTTATGACATCATTCTGACTGTGCTCCTGGCCCTGCGTGTGTGTGTGTGTGTGTGTGTGTGTGTGTGTGTGTGTGTGTGTTTTCTCTCTTCTGTTGGAGTCAGGGGCTCTAAGGCACACAGAATCTTTCTTCACTTCCCAACATACTTATGGGCTCTTGATCAACCACTTACGCAGGCTTCAAGGCAGAGGTAAAACGACCTATCTTCTGGGAAGCCTTCCTCCAGGCCTGTCGTCCGAGTGGGGATGTTCTGGTCCCTCGATCTGCTGTCTAGGTTTCCCATGATACACTGCTCTGGTGGGTTGCAAACCTGACACTAGACGGGCAGAGAGGCAGCCGTGGGCCTGGGCTTGTGCGCACGCCACACCTGGGCCCATCGCAGTTGAGCAAGGCCTGAGGTCCGAGCCTCCCCAGGGTGCTACACTCTTAGCCCTCTGTCGTGGGCTCGGACCCTGGCTTCTCTGCCCCCCGGGGCTGTTTTCAGACTTGAGAAAGATGTTTGGGTGCCCGCTCAATGCTGCCTCTTAGACTTGCTCCCCCTGCCGAAGGAAGCTGGGCCTCGCCAGACTGCACGTGGCCCCACGTGGAACCAATAGTTCCCAAGCCTGGACACAGCAGCCTGCCTGTCTGCCAGTGTGCCCAACAGAGCCCGAGGCTAGGGTACTCCAGAGCCCAGCGCCTGAAAGTGCAAGACGGCATGGGTTTGTGCGACCTGCGTGATGCTACCGTCATTGTGTGAACCCAGGCTAACCTTGCTGCTGAGGGTCGATTCCTACGCATAGCTGATTCCCACTCTCGACTCCAGAGGACCAGGTTGACCTGCCTCTCGGTTTCTGAGATTGTAACTTTTGGTGGGAGTAGAGGGCTCATCTTCCCCTCCCCAGTGGCTGGTGATTTGAATCGCTGACAAGGAAGGTCTTGTCCCTGTCCCGTCTGGCCTCATGCCTATGTTATACTTGAGGAGAGGGGGGCCTGTAGCCCTGGGCAGCCACGCTGCAAGGCTGCTGCAGTTGCTGGCTGTGCATGGTTTCCCTTCTCCTGTGAGCTTTCAGCCCCCTCCAGGGAGGGGAGCTTTGTGGGCATGGCATTAGGAGTGGAAGGGAGAGTCCGTGCAGACCACCCTGTTGGGGGAGCCTCCTGAGGAGGAGGTGGGAAGGAGGCAGTAAGAAGCTGGAGCCGCCCCCAAATGGGAACTTGATGGTCACTCGATAATCCCAGAATCTGTTTGGGTCTCCCAGCCCCAGAGAGTTCAAGGATAGGATGAAATCATGTTGGCCAAGATGATGCCAGCTGCACTGTACTTCCAGAGGCATCTCTCCACAGGGCTACTCCACAGAGTCATAGGTGTGGTGGGAAATCGCATGCGGGCTGCCATGGCCACTTTCCATCGCCAGCGCTTTAGCTACTCTTACAGTGCCCCTTCAGCTCAAGACCCAGGGCCATTTGGGTGCATTTTAGGGAAATATACATTTCTGGATGCAATAATAAAAATAAAACAGCTGTGGCTTCTACCCTTTTCATCGTAGTAGCAATGAACTCTGGTAACGTCTCCATACAATATAGTTATCTAGTGCAGAATCAGATTCCTGTCATCTTGTTGCTCAATAAAAGTTATTGAATAAAGTTCAAAACAAAACAAACAAAAAGAAGCTGGAGCCGGGGCTCTGAGCCTGGGAAAAGCACAGCCTCGTGTGTGTGTGTGTGTGTGTGTGTGTGTGTGTGTGTGTCCCCATGTGTACAAGCACGTGTACTCAGGTGTCTGTTGGTGTGAGTGTCTCTGAGTCTGTGTACATCCATCTCCGTCATATCTGGTGCATGTTTCTGGAACGCTGGGTACAGATGTGAGGTGTTCTTTCTCCCTGCTCTGTGGGTGACTGTGTGTGAGCCGTGTGGGTGTCACAGCGTCTGACCCTCACACTCAGGGAAAAGACAGGATGGGCGGCTGCTGGGCTGTCAGAAAAGCCCGGGGACCGAGTCAAGCCTGGTGCTAGCAGTAGCAGGTCTTGCCCAGCAAGTTTTTCTGGCCTGGTGGCAGCAGTGGCAGATTTGACTATAGTGAAGTGGCCCAGGGAGGAAGGTAAGACGGACAGGGGCAGCAGAGCGAGGGAGTACAAGGCTGCCCTCCTAGCCTGCCAGAAGGGGCCTCAAGACCCCCCAAATTCCCCACTGTGTGGATCCACGTGGGCAGAAGTCTGGGTAGTAGCTGCCTGCAGGGTGATCTCCACTGGGTAGACCTTTGGTGTCCTATCTGTCAGTTTGTTACCTGTCCTGCTGAGAAATAGATGCAGCACAACCTCAGGGTGGGTAGGGGTCAGGGGTTACTTCTGGACCTGTGGCCCTTGGGGCAGGTGGGCTGTCAAGTCACAGAGGGCCATGAATGGATAACCTGAGGCAAGTCACTGCTTCTTATCTGTAAACTGGGCCTCTGGGGACCATGCGGTTTCCCTCACATCTATCCAGTCTTGGCTGCAAGTCCGTCTTGGCCTAAAATCACAGCCTCCACCTCTTCCTCCCTCTCCCTGCCCAAGAGCCTTCATCGTCTTCCCTGCTCAGAGGTGCCTGCCTGCCTTCCATCCGTCCATCTCCTGTGGGATGAGGGCCTGGGGAGCAGGAGGGAAGCAGCATTTATCTGTGTCTGATGGCTAGCAGGGCCTGGCATGGTTCTGGTCCCCTGGCTGCTCCCTGAGAGCTGGAGGGACAGGCCCTGTGTTCACTTGGAAGGGTACTGTCGCCACTTGAGGCCCATACACTCCCCCTCGGACAGCTTGTTGGGGCGGGTGCATGCGTGCAGGAGGGTGGGGTCGGGGTGGACAGGGCTCCCTGAGGGCCAGGGTGCAGAAGCCCTGAGGTCACTCAGCAAGTGTGGGCGCAGGAAGCCAGGATTAGAGGTGGCTTCCCTTCTCACACCACTGCCCCTCCTCCGCGAGCCCGGATTTGTGGTGGGGGGCAGTGTTCCAGGTGCCCTTAGTGGACTATGTGGCTGCTGGGAGGAACAGTAGTAAGTACTACAGCCAGCATTGATGGAGCACTTAACTATGTGTCAGACATCAGAGATCAGAGATCTGCCCGGGGTTAAAAACCGCTGGGTGTTAGGATTGTAAGTTTAAGGCACGCACCTTTAGCTTGCACCCCCCTGAGAGACCATGGACCAGTAGCTGGAGGGGGACCTAGGAGCAGCACCCAGCTGGGGAAACTAAGGGTCAATGGCGCCCCCAAGTGGCAATGTGCTCAACTCACAACCACTAAGCCCTTGAAACTCTTACAGTCACCTCTGACCTGGAAGGCTTGGCCATCTCTCTGCTGCCTGCACACACCCCTCGCTGCCCACCTCTGGGTCTGTGCACACTTGGCCGTTCCTTGTGCCTTGCACACCCTGTGCTCTCCTTTTGCCGGACGCCCCACTCCTGCCCCAAGGCTCAGCTCAGCTCTCGGATGGCCCCACTGTCACTCAATCTCCCTCAGGCGCCACAAGGGGTTCCAGCCCTGTTTGGCCCTGCTTGGGCCAGGAATCTTAGCTTTGGGGTTGCTCCCAGGGGCCACCGACAGGCTGGTTGGTACCAGCCTGCTGGGTACCATTCTCAGATCACCAGCCTCTTCTTCACGGCCCCCAGCAGCTCCAGGGGCCATGCAGCTGGCCACCCCTAGCCCCAGTAACAGCTGCGAGGCTGACAGCGAGGGCAGCTGCAGCCAGCCTCCCCACAGGCCAAGCACTAGGTGGCATTCACAGTGACCTGGAGTGTGGTTTTGTTGCCTGTCCCCTGATTCACCGAACTGACCACTTCTCCCCTTGTCTCCAGCTCCTGGTCCTTTAAACACAACAGGCTCATTCCCAACCCAGGGCTTGCCCATGGCCCTTCCCTCTGTCTGGAAGTCTCCCTCCCTCCTGGGGACACCCAGAAGCCTCCACTTCCTTCCTCAGATATTTGCTCAAATGCCACCTCCACCAAGAGGCCTCCCTGACCCCTCTGCTCTTGACATTCTTTGTTTTTTCTTTCCTCTCTGTCTCTCCTGCTAAAACACACGTCTCACAAGAGCAACAACCTCGTCTTTGTCATTTCTGCTTCCCCAGCCCCAGGAACCACCTGCACGCAGCCTCCAAGTCCAAACCAAAGTCCCTGCCATCGAGTCTGACTCAGCAGATCGATAAGACAGCATAGACGGCCCCTGAGACCTTTTGAGACTGTAACTCTTTCTGGGAGGAGAAAGCCCTGTCTTCCCCCCTCAGAGTGGCTAGTGGTTTTGAACCGCTCACCTTGCGCTTAGCAGTCCCACACAGAACAGGTAAATCACCAGGGAGCACGGCAAAAGCACAATACATATTCAAACACTGAATTTATACACTTGGGTCCTACTGTGTCTGGCCATGGGGACAAGAAAGGACAGAGACCCACCAAGGTGCTGACCTTTTCCCCACTCCTTCCCACTTCCTCATCCTTCCTCAGGCATCCTGGCCTTGGCCTTGAGATTGGGATTCTACCTACCCCAAAGGCCACCACTCCTGTCTGCTATGCCAGACACCCGCATCAAGGCCACCCGACCTCAATCCCAAGTGTGACTCCAATTGCTTTAAATAAATTAGCTCACTGATGAAGTCCAACAACCCTTACAGGCGAGGCACAGAGAGGTCCAGGGACTCCCCCAAGGTCGCAGTCAGGAAATAGCAGAGCTGAGAATTCTAGCTCAAGCTGTGGATCGAGTGGGGCCTTGCTGGTGCACATTCTGGGGGGCTGCCCCATGCCCACCCTATTCCCTTGCGGGGGCCACATCCTGGGCCGGGAGCCACTCCCACAGCGCCCAGACTGTTGGCTTCTGGCTTCTGCAGGAAGAGTGGGGTTTCCTTCATCCTCCTGGCCCCCCCCCCCACTCCCCACTCACTTCACAGAGATGGAGAACTCCCCAGGGGAGCTCTCGCTCTCCCGGATCAGAAAGGCCCCCAGGTGGTTTCGCTTCATCAGGATTTCTTCTGCCAGCTGCCGGGAAATCCTGCCCGAGTACCACCTGCAGGAGAAGGAGGGCAGTCATCCTGGAAAGTCCCTCCTGCGCCCCCGTGTCTCTGGCGCGACCCCTCAGGGCCCGCCCAGCAGGCCCGCGAACTAAAGGATGTGACCACACCACTTTGCACTTGGGGAAATCCAGACGCGCAGAGGGGAAGCACCACACCTGCGGTCACACCGCGGGAGGGGGGCTCATTCCCAGAACGTCGATTCCTGAATCCAAGCCTTTCTTGCCACATCAGGCAATCCACACCCTTATAACTACAGAAGCAATCACACGCCAACGCACCTCAGGCTAGCTTTTGCGTTTGAGAGGGTGGATGCTTCAAATGGAAACAAATGTTTTGGAAATGATGGTAACATATGTACAAATGTGCTTGATACAATTGATGTATGGATTGTTAGAAGAGCTGGAAGAACTCCCAATAAAACGATTTATTAAAAAAACAACAATGCATGGCCAAAGTCAAAGTAGTAGCAGCTTCCGTGGGATGAGAAAAGATCTCTCCCTCTACCCATTTCACAGACGCACAGACAGGCCACTGGGCTTCTGCCCAGACACTTGTCCATGTGTGTTTTCCTAACAACCAAACAAACCTGGGCCTAGAGCAGGTGCCTGGCCAATGCTTACACCCCTGCAGAATTCCCACCCCCGACTGGAAGGAGCAGCCCAGCTCAGGGGACAGGCTCTGGGGTGGACACTGGGATCCTTGCTCTGCAGCCATGATGGGATTTGGCACCTATGTTCCTGGCACCAGTGTTTTAGCCTACCTGCCTATATCCCCGCTGCTCCCCACCCCAAGGCAAACTGACCAATGGCATGCCATTTTGTTGACTGCTGAATGACCTGCCTCCTTCCTCCTCCCATCTCCGAAAGTCTCCCAGTGATTGATTTTAGAATGTACTCTTATGTTCCCAAGATCAGAACGTTGTAATTAATAATATTGCTCCTTTTGATGTTGTAACCAGGATATTACTATTATTTTATTAACCAGGATGTTAAGAATTAATCCCGTACCCTGTAATGCTCAGTAACTCTAAAGAATGTTTACATTAATTTGGCTTGGTTTCTACTTTTGTCATATGCTTGCTTAGGTCTCCGATAAATGATACAATGAGTTTTTGCCTTTATAAACTCACTGAAAAGTCCACCCAGGCCTGCAATCTAAAGAATCGTTTTTAGATTCTCACCGTCCAGTTATAACCGAATAAAAGACTCTTCTAAATGTCAAGACATGATAGTGACTGTCATTGATTTGAACCGGCAACAGCCCACTCTTCCCACGGGATGCAGGTGGTTTCTGGAACACACCAGCGATCCTGAAGCCCTGGGGGACATTGTCCAGCAATATCTGATGGGTGTGGTATCCTTGGGTGATGTCCCCAGTGTGGGGCGGGGGTGGGGTGTCACCGTGGGATTTAGTTTCCACTATCTCTCAGGGCTCCCTGGCAGTTTGGGCTCTGGTTGCCCTCAGAGGTAGTTCTGTTGCTACTCCCTGCCATCGAGTTGATCCTGACTCATAGCGACCCTGTAGGACAAAGTTCAACCGATCCTGTGGGTTTCCAAGATTGTAACTCTTTATGGGCGTAGAAAGCCTCATCTTTCTCCCAAGGGCTGGCTGGCGGTTTTAAACTACCGACCTTGTGGTGTGTAGTCCTTTCATTGCGTTGCATGAGTCTACTCCCAAATATATTCCTTGTCCTCAAATCCTTGACTCAGGAACTGTTTCTGGGGGAACCTTTACTCTCAGAAGTGGGATCTTTTAGGCCACGGTTGTCCCTAAAATTAGTAGGGGACCCTCAACCCTTCTCCCCACTCTAGGGTCTGAAGGAGGTGGCGAGAAGGTGTGGGGTTGCTCTGGTGACTTGTGTGTGCACTGGGTAGGGAGAGGGGAGGGCACTATGAGGAGAGCTTGGCCTGAGTCTTCCAGAGTTTGGGGGCGCTGGTGCCCAACTATCTTGGATGAGCTTTGAGGACACAGTTCCTTGATGGCAAAGTGAGGCAAGTGCCACAAGGCACAGAAGCAGTCTTCCTTTAGGTCAGGATGGTGGGAAGGAGACACCCCCCCACCCCCCTCACCCCCCCACCCATCCCCCCGGCAATGCGTGGGGGTTGGGGTAGGCCCAATGAAGCTCTGGATGAAAGTCCCTGAGGAGGCAGGCATCTACAGTAAACCCACAGAGTCTCACAGTGGGAGTCAGGCCGGGTGGAGATTGGTCTGGCTTAGAGGGTCCCTTCCCACACCCTCTCAGGAGGCCCTCAGGTCTCCCTGGGTCCTGCCTGCGCATTGGGAAAGTAAAGGCACATGCCGGGTTGCCCTGAAAATGAGGCCCTGGGGGAAGCATGCACTCCTCCGTGCCCAGAGCCCAGCTCCTTCACCACACCAGTGCCCCAATGATTGCCCACCACAGCCCCCATTTTACTGAGACCGGAGAGGGGCAGGGGGGCGGGCGCTGTCATGGGGTAAAGTGTGCCCCTTCAAAAGGCACACGAAAACCCAGCCCCTGTTAATGGGACTTCGTTTGGAAATAAATACAGCCTTCGAAGGGGTTCAGATCCAGTACTCTGGGATTGTGCTGGAGAAGGGAGGTTCCGAATCCCATTGAGTGGGACAGAGTGAGTCAGGGAGCATGGGCATGTGATAGGGCCAAGGCTGGAGGGGGGCTGTCGCACCGAGTGAGCTGCTACCTGAAAGTGTGTGCGGTTATGCAATGAGGAAGAGGTTTGCCCTTTCTTCCCCGTCTGTGGTTGGGCCTCTCTGCTCTGTCCAGGCAGGCTCCACTCTCACTTCAAAGCCCATGGGCTTCCTGTTCTTCTGGGAAGCCCTGGGGTCCCCACTGACCACATAATGGAGCCAGGTGCCCCTGCGGCCCCCATGCCATCTGCACTGGGGGCCACGGGGATCTGGATTGGACTTCCACCCCGGTGACTCACACGGGCAGGAAGATTGAGTGTGATGCTCAGAGGGAAGGAGAGGGTCTATTGTGGGCTCCTCACACCCCTGGGGTCTTTGCAGGCAGAGTCAGGGGTCGAGCTGGGCTTCCCTACAGCTATTTGGGGTCAGTGCCAAAGCCCCCAAGAGTGTGCCTGGCCTTCTCCAAGGTGAGTTGCCCAACATCCAGGCCCCCTTCTTGTTCTGTTTCAGACACAGGGGCATCAGGAGCTGGAAGACTCCGTGGCTCCTGAAGGCTTGGGGGTGGAATCTTTTTTTTTTTTTCCCCTCCTGGGAAGAATCTTTTTTAAAATTGAAGGGAAAAAAAGTTGTTGTTGAGACCATACGCAGCAAAGCTTGCACCCATCCAGCAGTTTCTACATGTACAATTTAGTGGCATCGCGCAGTCTGAGGACTTTCTGAGCCCTTGCTCTCTGCTACCATAAACACACTGTCCTCTAAGATTCTTTTCCAGTCTTTTAATAAGATTTTTTTTTTTAAAGCATAATGCTCAAGGCAGGGCTATTTAAAAAAAACAAGGAAACTTTCCTTTTTTACTAGTTCAGTAAAATCGTTTGCTTTTACTATGACTCGAGGAGATAGTTTTGGTTTCAGTTTTAAAGGTTATCTCAGGGCAATAGTTGGAGGAGTTAACTCACCCGCCACAGGTCTAGAGCCCGAGAGAATTTGACGCGCTGTCCTGCGAGTTCTTCCTGTAGGTCAACAGTACGGTTGGACCTTTATAGTCACTAATTCCTCATCTGTGGATTCAACTAACTGTGCAACAAAGATATTGGGTGGTGGGGCAATTAAGCGATCAAATCAAAGGTTAAGAGGGAGTGTAAAATGCTATTTACATAGCATTTGCATTGTATTCATTTTTAAAAAGATTACTTTGGTCAGGTGTATACTCTGTAATTTATTTGTTTTTTCTTCCTAAGTTTAAAACAACCTGTTCTATCTTGGAATCGACTTCTTCTCTATTTGGAAGTTTTGTCACTGCATTGTTTAGCCCCCATTTTACTTTGCAATTGTCATCTTTTACAAATCGACATTTTGGCTCCCGGTTTTCAGTATGGTAGCTTTATTTTATTTGGATACTTCTAGGTGGTGTGACCCTGAATGCTCACCTCACCCCCACCATGTTGATTCTTTGAAATACTCCCTCTTGGGCTTCTTTTCAGGAGAATGTCTGTTGACCTAGACATGTCTTAATTTCACCATTGTCTGGGAGGAACACCACTGCTGAGTCTGTAAATTATTGACTGGTAGCTTTTGTTGTCCATAAATGCATATATATCACCCCATTTTCTGATTGTCTGCATGGTTTCTGCTGAGAACGCAGAGTTTAGTGTTAATTGGCTCTCCCTGTAGATAACTTTATTTCTGCCAAGGTACATTTTTGGAATTCTTTCCTTGCCT